TTGACACATCTGATCGGTTTGAAATCGTTTGCTATGCAGCGAAACTTTGTACAACAGTAAAGGTTTCGTCGTGGATCCAAAATTCGCTTAATTTTCGATTTGCTTAATGTTAAATAGTTTTAATCTTTTAAATGACATAATGGCTTGTCATAACTAGCTTTTTAAATATTTGTTTTAACTATGATAATTTTACGTTACGACATTACGTTATTTTGACAGATAATTTTTTAGTACAATTTCAAAAAGAATTAATTTGTTTGCCGAATTCTTACTGTGTTATTTTTTGTTTCAATAAATTCTCGGGAACGTTACTATTGAAATACGTTACGCTTACTTAAATAAAGCATGTCAGAGCGATTAAGAAAGTTCAGAAACGGAACTTTACCAGCTGGTTACTGGACCGTATGATTTAGAAATGTTAATGGAGAAAAGTATTGGATCGTACGTCTGTTATAACAAGTTTTTACTGCGCATTTCGTATTTTTATCTGTTTGCTGAATAATCATTGTATACGATTCTCCAGAATATTCTGCCTACCATTAAACATAAGAATGGCGACGAATTATTTTTAATAAGAAGAGTCGATAAAAACAATATAGCGTTCAAAATAAATCGCGTGTGGCCGCTCACAAGTTGGTGTAGCTGCGGCTTGTGATGTCCGAATATTAGATCGTAGTTTGCGTGCTATGATATTAGAGTGTAGATTCCACCAATGCGATTCTGTGTCGCATCCAAAGCTGCTTTATTGACTATTTCCGTCACAGTTACTTATTATCTTACCTGATTCATTATCGCTACGTTTTCTAATGTTACGGATTTGAATCTCTTGCAACTTTAGCTTATAATAAATCTCATTAATATACACTCACTGTTACAACAATAGTTCAAAAGTAAACATACTATATCATCGTTATTAAACTCGCGGCACATACACATCAGCACTTTATTCGGTCATGATCAATATTTCAATAAACTTAAATCAGCGATACGTCTATCGATTAACAAGGTTGACAAAAGTATACTTATGCATGTTGATTGATTCCTGCATCTAATTTAATGAGTTGATATAGCGCCTTAAATTACATACAGGACAATTGATACCCATTTTTGGGACTGTAGACTTTTACCTTCGTAATATAAATAGCACACGTTTATGGGTTGTCTCATCAAAAGCTTAGAATTATACATCGTTTCCACTTGCGAACGACACTTTTCGAACGAGATTCTTGAAACGGAGCGGCGGCTTGTAAAACAGACGTTGATGATGACTTTCTAACCTTCCGGTACAATTATTATTACTATTGGATGATACGAGTTCGAAAATTATGAAAATTATGAAAAAGTGTCATACGCTCAGAAGCTTGACCAGAAGTCTGTTTATTTGTAACAGGGAAATTTACAATTTAAATACTGGATCGCTAGAACTCGCCATTTCCTCATGTAAAAACTTGCCAATAAGTAAAAGGAGATATCTGTTTGCAAACCGATAGTATATCTATTAGGACGAGTGAAGGAGAGAAATACTTTACCAGATGACGAGCGTATTCTAAACAATAAACGGCGTTGATACATTATTATTTACATTGCTGACCTTACGATCAGGAAGAATTCGTCGGTCAATCTATCGTTTGTGAGTTACAGTTGTACTACTTAAATCCGTTTATCATACAGCAATAGAAATAAAACCGTATTTAAGTGCGGACCCGTAGACATACTGCTGACGCATCCGTTGAATGGACACCTTAAAAATACAGTGCACCGCTGAATTATTTGTAATCGTAAGCAAGCCCTACGGTGCGGTGATGTCATTTACAAACGTTAAATCGGAGTCGACAAATCAAATACCGTGGGGGTGGTATTGAATAAAATACACCGCAGAATAACGACAGTGCAAAGCCAATACAGAGTCAGTTACCATCGTCAGTTAAGTGAAACCGAACCCGTTGATCGAAAATAAGGAAGCGCTACGAAAGACGATAAAAAGTCGCCGATATTGCGGCTGTTGTTAAAAAGAAAAGGAAAAAGTATCAGTTGACGAAGAAACAATAGTATGGTCATAAATAACAATGGAGGAAAGCGACTGAAAAGGGGTAGATCAAGGAGAAAGTTTAAAAAAAGATTTGCTAGATCCATTACTAACAAACTAACGGCTCCGTTTATTTGTATTTATTGCCATTAAACGTCAGTTCGCTTATTGAACTCTGATTTTTAAATTGTGAAATGCGTTTTAACTTAAATTTATCCAATATTATAAAATCTAAAGGCCGACCGATGAAATTGGGCGGCACACTACACACTTCTAGTTTAGAAAAAAAAAATGCTGTAATGTGGCAATTGATTATCGATTGCTTTTCATGGGAAAATCGGTAAAGTAAACTAATTTCGGTGATATCAACAAGTTTTAGAAAGATTTGAGACTATTCTTTGTTATTTCAAACAGCATTCGAAAAAATGAAAACAAAATTGAAGAAAAAAATGTATAGCAGACAAGGCTTAGTATTAAAAAATTATCATAATTGATCACAATCAATGTGTTCGATTATTATTTACGGCATTATGCTGTTATGTATCTTTTTTAACTATGCTTAGTAGTATACTCTTATTTTGATTACTTTATTAAGAGATAATTATAAACCTTATTTTATTTGAAACTTTCAATAAAATAAATACTACGACACGTTTGTGATTCGGAAAAAATCTAATGAAATGGTGTCAGGTTAAGACCATGCACAAGCGTTAACGAATTACTATACGTTAACTAGTATAAAATTAAAGTCTAGTCAACTGCAGGTACAGTTAATGTTAATATTAAGTGATTAGTTTTATTTTAGATACGCAAGTTATAATGGAGAAATTATTGGAAGATTATTGAATAATATTATTATGTTGTAACTTTTTACTACATTTGGATATGTTATAAAGCAGTATTGGCTATCGCACCGATGTTGAGGTTTTTCTAAGTCGGACACCTGCTAATCGCAAAATAAACTTGATCCAGAAAGAGATGACCTAATGGCACAGTAATTTTTGTAATGTAAGACCCGAGTTTTATGAGCTGCTACCTTCCAATGGCTGGTAAATCAACATTTCCTATCTCTTGGTAAAGTTTGTCAGTTACATTTCTAACCGTGAGAGCCAATTTCATTCCTGCTTCACAATGTCCAGGGACACCACACATGAACCACAGCTACAAGATCAAGCATAAATAAACGTGAGTTGCAAGGATCAAGGATTGATATAAACGAGTCAAAGTAAATTTTATATTGGAGTAGTAGTTACCTTGCTCTTATTAGCGGTGACCTTGAAAATTGCTGTGAAGCCATTGGTAATTTCACCAGTCTTGAAGGCGTTGATGGGGTGCAGTTGTCGTCATCAGTTTGAAGGACACTGTGTGTATCACTACCAACCCCACTTGAAGGTGATAATAGAACCAGCGGTGATGGTGGCTGTGGCTGGGTTGAAATTTAGACCACCATCTCCTACGTTGATAATCATATCCTGAGCAACCGCAATAGCAACGACAGCAAGAACAGCAAAGAAAAGAGCAATGATGCGCTTCATAATTTTTTTTTTTTTTGAAATGTGTGAGGTATGTACGTGTGGTGTTGCGAAGTATGAATGATTTTGATCACAGAGACAATCGTTTGTTCAGTAGGTATGTATGTGTGGTGTTGCGAAGTATGAATGATTTTGATCACAGAGACAATCTTTTTTCTTGAAGTTTGGATTTCGCAAGGTAAATATAAATGCACGTTTATATATATATATTTCTGAGAATCTTGGATGCAGCAATTAAGTCATAATTAAATATGTAGATTGCTATTAGAATATGGTGCGTTTGAACAAGTTGAAGTATGGTATCAGTTTTTTTTGCTATTAGCACTTTGGCTTTTAGTATAATGATGGCAAATGGGGATGCGGCTGAATATGTTCTTGATTAATATATCATCATCGACAATTACTGTTCGTTCATACTATTATTATCCATTTCCGCATCCGCACCTGTTTCCATATTTGGTTGTTCATAATGAAGATAGAATCACACGTTCACAAATTGTCTAATTCTGGAAATGAGTTCATCAATAGTTTGTTTCAGCGGGATCTTCGCTGCATTGATAATCAGGGGAAAAAAGTTAGTCCTACCCCCACCCCCACTCACCGCACACCCCCTCACATCTTAAGAGAAAAAGCAGGAGTTTCCTCATCGGAATTGCCGTGTATGTCAGTAATACCTATTAACAGCTCGTAAACCAAAAGTGACCATATTTAGGACGCATGCTTAGAAAACAATTAAGGAAAACCAATTACAGGCTTCTCAAAATAAACTTGCCGAGACTTTACAAAGCAAAGGCAATTTAAAAGAAAAATTAACCGAAATTCAAAAGGAAAACAACAATTTAAAGGCTGAAAATCATCACTTAAAACAATTAGTGGTAATATGCAAACGAGACAGATGTTATTAATTGCTGAAATAAATTAATCTTCCCGGTGCTACTTCGTAAGCATATCTGATATCAAAAGTAAGACTCTCTGGGTAGCGAGCAACAAGATTCGATACAACGTGCTCTATGCAATTGTTTGTGTATGTAACAAGGGGTGCTTTTGTGAGCCAAGATTATGGCGTACATACAAAGTGAAAATATGCTACAGATGCCTGTCGTGTATATTGTAATTCAAGTCAACATTTTTGCTCGTATTGTTAGAGCAAATAAATTCTTTAGAG